TCATGGCGTTTATATAAGCAAATCAATTTTTATATAATATTCATTGTTTTGCATTATTCTCATATTTATGAAATAGTTTATACCTATTATTGATTATTTCCTCTTTTCATAATACTAAATAAAAGGGATACAATTTATATATTATATATATACATATATTTCCCGAGTTGTGTGTACGCAACGACACGAAATACAAGGGCGCAAAAGCAAAACAGTTGCAATGTAATGCTTATCTGGCAGAAATAGTTGCCCGTTGAAAACGATAAAGAGCGCAAAATTAAACGTGGTAAGAGCCACTGTCACACATAAGTAGAGACGCTCTACTAAGCAACTGTATAATAACTCCAAAACCGAGGTATCGACACTTTTGCATACAACTGCAAAGGTTTACAGTATTGTTTCGCATGCCAATGATGTTGGCCCCGCGAATTTGTGTTTCTTCACGTCCGTGGGCTGCGAAAGCCCTTGCGACTGCCATGCTGGATTTCACAGTTGCTGGCGCGAAAAATGAACCTTCACGCACCCCCTCAACAACGCCTCATGCGTTCGCATGCGACTGGGGTGCACCCCCACCCGCACCACTCAACGAGGGTAACCGACATTCGACCGACACCCATGCGACGATGTGTCACAATCTGCGCGCCTCGAATCTGGCTCTTCTTCGAACCAGAGGAAACATTTGGCCAGTGTTTCCCCTTCCCTCCATAAATGTGAAATTCCCCAACCTCGTTCCATTCCAGCTCTCACCCATCCCTTGGCCAGCGAGATAAACGGCTCACAAAGTTCCATTCGCCAAACGTTTGGTTCATCACTTCCTTCTAGAGACGCGTGCGCTTAGCTTTCACACCTGTCCAGTATTACAGTCGACGTGATCGTTCCGCGAAATACATTCTGGTTCCTTGAGAAGCTTGGCTTTGCATCCTAATTTACCAAGATTCGCCATGGCTAGGACTCGAGTTCCACAGGCATTGCTAACGGCACTTCTTGTTTTAACATGTAAGAAGCATGCGCCTTAATCCTCTCCTACATTTGATAAATAGAATGTCACAGATATGTATTCGAGTTCCCACTCTACCGAAGAAATGTATCTGAAACGTTTCGTCACTAACGAGCTTCGCTCTCGAGCTGTACAAACATCCTCGCCCTTCCGCCTGTTTCGTTTGGGTCGACTCACAATTCAAGAGTGCATTCGGCTATAGAGTCCGTTCTCGTATATTCAACTAGAACATTTTCCAATCCATTCCGCTCTTTCCCTGGCAGGTACCATCGCCATTGACGCCCAGAAGCTCGGCACGCTGAAAAGTGAGTGCTTTTCTCCCAATCTCTTGTCAATGAGCCGCGCAAACTATCCGTAAATTGCAGAACGACTAATCTCGTTGCATATGCTTCCGGGATAATTCCATGTACAGCGAGCAGGCGAGGGAAGGCCAACTGCATGCTGATCACGCCTTGCTGTCACCAACCTTCCACGTCACTCTTCGCCTTTTTCCATTTTTCACCATCTTCCTAATTTCATTTCCAGGACGAGTGGCAGCTTTCATCAGCAGCAATTACATCCAAACCCTTCGCTTATATTCCTCACCCCCGTCTTGCACGTACCCGTCCTTTTCTCCCCCATCCTTTTCCAGGAAGAGTGTCAACTTTCATCAACGGCGGGTTCTCGGCCAATGTGAAGCTCTCGCTCTACACCTACTACAACAAATATAACATCGCGTTCGAAACCGTTCTCACCACCACCAACGGAACCCTGCTCCCGCCGTTCCAGCACACGCTCGTCAACGCTACTGATGATACTCCCTATGTTATCTTTCCTCCTGGTGTGTGGGACGTGAAATACGAGAAGCAAGACGGGATTGTGACGGGCTATTCTTACAAGGGAACCGGTGCTGTTTTCAACAGTAACGGGTACACTGGAACTGCCGCGGCGAGTGTAGAGCCCCTTGCAATAACGCGTACGCTGAGCAGGATGGCAAGGTGGCCGGCGCGGTTCAAGGTTATTCTCCAGGATTCTGCTAACAACACTCTCGGCTCTAGGGCGCTCAACTTCGCTTAGAGACTGCTGAATTCATGCGGATGGAAACCTCTGTACGATAATAAGGCCCGCATCTACTTGATGATTTAACTAATGTGAGACTAGTAGTAGAGGCATTGTCCTACTCAGAGACAAATACTGCACATCCTTTGTATGCTTGTGTGCTATCCACGATTGTTTCTTTCCTCAATGTATTTAGCCTAGAGGTTCATGTATCCACAACCACCCATCCCAGTTATTTAGGGAATTCCTCGTTCAGCATCGAACGAATCCCGTAGCAAAAGGTAAAATTCGCCTAAAACGGCGTCTGCCATTTTTGCTGAACTCAGTTTAGTTTCTGGGGCAAGCTTGGCTAGCGGGCATTGGGGTGTCAACAGTACAGTGGGAGGGGAAAGTTGAAATGGTCCAACAAAAGGGAGGACAGACTAACATTTTAGGTGGATTTGGTCCTGTGAGTCCTAATACATGGCAGCGATGCCCAGATAATTGTCATTGTGAGTATGAAGAGACATGAATCAGTTACACATATACTAGAGGCACAATCAAGCACACTACACTACTGTCCTCCAATGGGGTTCTTTGTCCTGCAGCAACCGGTTTGTAGGTCTATGTTACCAAGTCATATAATACTGTATGGGTTTGGCGAACAGGAAACAGTTACAAAAGGTCGTCACTTCCCACCAGATTTCATCGCAAATCACAAAGTTGACGACGAGCCGACACTCGTCAGAGTCGTCGCAAGTCGTCGACCGCACCGACACAGGCGAGGGCAAACGGTGTTTTGCGGTTCCTCCTTGGTGACGGAGGTTGATGCGACGAAAGCGCGGCTCGAGCGACCGAATGTCGGATTTGGGCGATGAATGCGACACGCACCAAGTAATTCAAAGCCCAAGCTGCGCGACACTTTCGTCTAGCCTGAAGTATATCATGCGACTTCAGCTCCACACTTCACCACCGTGCGACAGAAAACTTATTTCTCAACCTAATCCAAGCTAGTAACACCGACGCGATATAGATTGTCCTAGTAGCTCTTGCTGCCAAAAAATACTCCCCGAGAGTACGAACTACAGATTGTGCGTTAGATTCTTCGTCTCCGTTGAGAAGTAAACACTTTCAGCTGGTAGTAACCCGAGTCGGTCCGAGATTATTATCCCGTTAGCAGGAGTGTTACTGGATAGCTCACATGAACACCCTAGCGAGCGCCATGCAGCTGTGGGAGGAAACAGAGCTCGTTCCGTTATCAGTTCGCTGGGAAGCAGACCTGCCGGCCACCGTCAGTATCGCAGTCATATATCTCGAAAATGACCAGGTGCTGAAGAAGATCGTGTCGCCTGCCGTTAAGGATCTCAACAGACGGTTTTCAGGCGCCGCGTCGTTTCTCGTGGACGCTTCCTTGCTCCGACCGTCGCAGCCGCGAGAAATGCCGCAGCAGCAGCCGCAGCAGCAGCAGGAGCAACAGCTGCCGCAGTTGAAACGACAGCAGTATCCTCGACTCTTCATCGATTTCTATTCCTGCTCGAGGCCCCTCGATTCCAGATTGCTTGGCCGTGCAACGGTTCCTCTTGAAGCAGTCCTCGCCAGCCAATCGGAGAAGGGCTCGTATGACGTCGTTCAACCCAGCGGGATCGCCGGGCGACAGAGCATCAGTCGCGGAATCGCACAGGTGCATGTGCAATCAGGAAGCGCGATTCCTCTGCCGCGGCGAGGGCAAGCGGATCACCAGAGACTAGCCAATATGCAGTCGATCATGAACCCCGCACGCTTCGTGCTCCCGGCGACTGCTTTTCGCGAAACTTCGCAAGATCATCGCCACAGCGGGAGTAACACTCATTCGCGAACGCGGGAGTTAGGACTTTCTAACGTCTCAAATGGAAGGCGGGGCGATCCTCAGGAGCAGTCGAGGAGCGGCGCTGCCCAGCGTGATGCTGCGAAATCAGGAAAGGAGAATATCCCACCAGTGGTGGTCATTCGGAACCCTGACGGCATGCTCGAGGGATTAGGTTTCCTGGTCGTCGGCGCGTGAAAAGCGGAACAAGTTTGAGTTGATCACATACCTTTGGCTTACTGTAAGTACTGGTCCGAGTGAAGACAACACAAACCCCATGGGAAGCGGCGCGCGACTCGGGGAGGCATCAACCATAAACACGGAAACCCCAAGGATGGTGATTAGGGTTGATGCCTCCCCAAGTGGCATGGCAGTCTAGAGGAGTTCATATTTTTCATTCAGGGATAGTGTAGTTAGCAAGCTCAGTTCGAGCTCCTGGTATCATGTGGAGCCTTCTTCATTACGGAGTGGTTTGCTTGAGCATATGGCATTCACAAATGTCCCCCTACAACCTGTCCTTCAAACATACATCTAATCTGGAGAGGAATTGCTTGACCTACTAGATGCTACCGTACATACATTTCCATGCTGCTACTACACCACGGCTTAATGTTGCACACCAAACTACATTTCCAAGCTAGCTTCCCTACTCATCCCCGAAGCCGTCCCCCAAACAATCCCCCAGTGTATACTATATCGGAGCACACAAGCAAGCGGTTGTGACAGTAGTGAATGGAGGAATTCGCAAGGGCCACGCCAGTAGGGAACGGCAGCGGGAACCCGGATCGAAGACGGTGATTCAGCAGAGGGATGAGAACGGAGCGAGAGAGAGCAGACACTATAGCTTGGAGTATATGAGTGGGGATATTGCCGACGAGACTCCATTGCTCCTGCGCCTGAAACTTAACGAGTTGAACTGTAGCGGTGATATTGCTTCCATCCACGGCAGCAGTAGCTGCACACACAGCAACCATTTTCACGCCAATCACATCGGTCTGATTCCATGTATCCCCTGGTAACACGGTTACTGTGAGCAGCGCGTCGACCTCCAATCCGATCCCGCCAGGTGTCAGCGTCGCGTTGGGCGGCTGACTGGCGTTGACTCGGAAGACCAAATCGGCGTCGGGATACTCGCGGAACATTCTAGGAAGGATCCAGCGCCACCCCTTGGTGTTGAGAAGTTTCCAGGGGAAGGAGTCTGGGAGGTGGTTTATGGTGTAGGAGAGTGCACCAGCCTGGAAGGGGGAGGGGATGGAAGCGCAAGGGAGAGGGCAAGGGAGAGGGCAGCATGATGGGAATGCCCTTGGTGTTGAGAAGTTTCCAGGGGAAGGAGTCTGGGAGGTGGTTGATGGTGTAGGAGAGCGCACCAGCCTGGAAGGGCGAGGGGATGGAAAGGGCAAGGGAGAGGGAAAGAAGGGGAGACGGGGAGGGGAGAGGGCAGGGCAAAGGGCACTGATGTTGATGCCCTTGGTGACTAGAGGCATCCAGGGGAAGGTGTATGGGAGGTGGTTGATGGTGTAGGAGAGCGCACCAGCCTGGAAGGGGGAGGGGATGGCAAAGGCACGTGGAAAGGGCAAGGGAACAGGCACTATGATGGGAATGCTTTACGTGATATGAGCATCAGTGCAACCATTGGTGTTGAGAATCTTGTAAGGGAAGGGAGGCCGGCTGGTGGTTCATGGTGCAGACGAGCGCACCAGCCTGGAAAGGCGAGGGGATGGGGAGGGCATGTGAAAGGGCAAGGGAGAGGGCACTATGATACAGATTCCCTTGGTGATGAGTTGGAATTTCTATCAGGTAAGGGAGGCCGGCAGGTGGTTCATGGTGCAGACGAGCGCCACCAGCCTGGAAAGAGAGAGTCTGGGGAGGGCATGTGAAAGGGCAAGGGAGAGGGCACTATGATACGAATTCCCTTGGTGTTGAGAAACACGATTGCTACCCCTTGGAGTTGGAATTTCTATCAGGTAAGGGAGACCGGCTGGTGGTTCATGGTTCAGACGAGCGCACCAGCCTGGAAAGAGAGAGAGTCTGGGGAATAGGGGAGGCGGAGGGGAAGAGCAAGGGGGAAGGTAATGATAGACAACCCACCTGATAAACGTTGATGGTTCTGTTGAGAATTCTCACAAGTACCATCAACGGAGGCGGAGGGGAAGAGCAAGGGGGAAGGTAATGATAGACAACCCACCTGATAAACGTTGATGGTTCTGTTGAGAATTCTCACAAGTACCATCAACGGAGGCGGAGGGGAAGAGCAAGGGGGAAGGTAATGATAGACAACCCACCTGATAAACGCCCAGATCATAAACGCCCACCTGATAAACACCTACCTGGTAGACAACCCACCTGATAATACACCTGGCTGGCTGAAGCAACGAGGTGCTGAGAGAGGGAGAGAGTTCTGAGCCTTCTAGTATGTCATGTCACCTCGTTCACCCACCCACCTCGTAATACACCTGGCTGGCCATCTAAAAGGTCACCTCGTTCACCCACCCACCTGATAATACACCTGGCTGGCCGAAGCAACGAGGTGCTGAGAGAGAGATAGCGCCACCATCTGCCCTGAATCCGCGCACTCATCGCCCTCCCCCACACACTTTGTATCATCCACCACACTCCCTCCCTCACTCCCTCTTCCAAGCCCACTACCCATCACTCTCCCAGGTTCCTCCTCCCCTTTTCCTCCCCCTATCCTCGCCTCCCCCTCATCTTCATCTCGCACCCTTTCCACCTCCCCACCAGCACTGCCAACCGCCCCCCTCTCCCCCAACACCCTCACGCCTTGGTAGCTGCTGATGTCAGCACCACGGTCGATGCTCAGCCCACTACCACCAACACTACTCCGTGTGCTGACGTCAGCAGCGGCAGAAGCAGCGGCACGGTGGGATGAGATGCTGCGATCCGACGGCAGGAAGCGGCCGTGGCAGGCGAGGGAGATGCTCTGGCCGTCGATCTCCGGATCAGCAGGCAGAGTGGCGTCAAGAGCAGCGGTAGAATCGATGGGAACAATGCGCGGGAGGGCCTGGAGAGCGGCGTTGGCGGTGGCGACTACTGTGTCAAGGCTGCTTGTGATAGCCTCTTCCATGGCCGCTCGCAGGTGGTTGGGCAATAAATCGACCAGGCTGTGGGGGAAAGGAGGGGGGGGGAAGTGGCATGGGGGGTCAAGAGGGGGGTACAACACGAGGGGAAGGGAGAAGGCGGGCAGCAGGCAGAGTGGCGTCAAGAGCAGCGGTGAGCTGAATCTCGACCCCACTCGCCCACACCCTGTACAGTCACACGCCATAAAAGTCACACCCCATAGACACACCCCATACAGTCACACCCTGTAATCACACTCACACAGTGTACAGCCAGGAGATACTCCCGGTGAGCTGAATCTCGATCGAATCGATCGCAGCACCGCGCTGCAGCAGCTCTCTCCCCCTCTGCCCCACTCTCCCCCCTCTCCCCCAACCCAACAATCAAACTCACAGTAAAATGTCACATCCCATTACACTCACACAGTGTAGAGCCAGGAGATACATTTGGTGAGCTGAATCTCTCCCCCTCTACCCCACTCTCTCCCCCTCGCCCCCACCCTGTACAGTCACACGCCATACAAGTCACACCCCATAGACACACCCCATACAGTCACACGCTGTAGTCACGCTCACACGGTGTACAGCCAGGAGATACTCCCGGTAAGGTGGATCTCTTCTCTCCCCCTCGACCCCACTCTCTTTATCCCCCCTCGCCCCCGTCTCATACAGTCACACAGACCATATAGTCACACTCACACAGTGTACAGCCAGGAGATACTCCCGGTGAGCTGAATCTCGATCGAATCGATCGCTGCGCCGCGCTGCAGCAGCTCTCTCCCCCTCTGCCCCACTCTCCCCCCTCTCCCCCAACCTATACAGTCACACTCACACAGTGTAGAGCCAGGATATACTCCCGGTGAGTTGAATCTCGATCTCATCAATCGCAGCGCCGCGCTGCAGCAGCGACACCCACAGCCCGCCGAACCGCTCCTGAAGCTGCGCCGCGATTCCCGCCTGCATTCCCGTGATCCGCACGCTCGCGTTCCCCGAGTCGCGCACATACCCGCCCGCCATTGAGTAACTCCACGTCAGACTGACGTTGGCGGTGATCCTGCCGGAAAACACGGTGATTTCGCCGCCTGAGTCGCCAATCCCTAGGTCGATACTCGCGTCGTCGACCGTCGCGCTCCATAGAATCATATCCGTTAAGTTTACTTCTAACGAGCCGAGAGGCTTGGGAAGGTCTTTCCGAAGCTGCAGGTCAGGTATGGTAAGCGGGATGATTTCTTCGAGAACTTCCTTTACTAGCACATCCCGGAACGACTGCAGGCCGGATTCTGACAGCCGCGCGGAAATCCCGCCGGGAGGTGCGGAGGAGAGAGGCACGCGTGGCGCAGGATGCGAGGCGCCATGGCTGGAGCTTAAAGGCTTAATCGCCGTCAACCGTTCGTTAGAATCTCGACTGGTTAAGGGGAGGGGAGATTTAAGAACATCCTTCGCTGCGCGTAGCGGGTAGCGCGCGCAGATTGTGGAGCGCAGGAAGCGGGTGAGGGGGAAGGCGGCGCGCGGAAAGCGCAGGTAGCGGGCGGGCGAAAGGCGAGAGGCGTTTCCGGTAGACGCGGCGAGCGCAAGGCAGAGAGCCACATGAAATATGAGGAGCGTTGTTCGGGAGTTGAGAACACGGGGACTGCGGCGAGCGCGAACAACGGCTGCGGCTCGTGAGGCAGCCATGGATGGCACAGAATGGAGGACAGCCCAAGGCATGGCTTTGTGCCAACAAATATTTTTGCTAGTGTAGTTTAAAATAGGACAAATTGACTACGGATTGCCCGCTGTCATGGAGCAATAGCTCAGTGGTAGAGCAATCGACTGCAGATCGATAGGTCCCCGGTTCAAACCCGGGTTGCTCCTTTCGGTATTAGCTTTTTTTGCTTACTTGCACATGATTGGAGTGCCTTGTTTGCTACCCAGCTGGCAGCAACAGGGCAGGAAAACAACGTGCATTATTTTATTTAGTGCTCTCAGTAGGTATACATCAATGCGTTGCATAGATAATGTCTTATGGTATTACTCCTGGCCAATGCAATTCTAACCCCTTGGGTGGTACCGGTACCATAAACAAGCTTGCAGGACCATCCAACCACCTACTGAAAGGTTATTTCATTCATCATCCTACTAATCCTGATATCCATCCCCCGCCAATCATTTGCACCATGCCTGTGTGACCCCACACATGAATATTAGGCCGAACTTTACGGCACCTCACAACTCAACTACCGGTACCCATCAATCACACCACGCCAGTGCAACCCCAGGTGCACGTGGCGAGCAGGTTCTCCCGCCCGCTCCCATCCTCAGGCTGCTGGGGCCAGCTTTTGAGGCGCCTCAAAAGTTCCCTGCCTCACAAAGACACAGCTCAACAGAGCTACTCGTCGTGCCTGTGCCGCCCCAGATACATGACCAGCAGGTTCACCCGCCCACTGCCATCCCCAGGCTGCTGGAGGCACCGCTCCACCATCCTCTTGTCTCGCAGACTGAACATTACAGCTTCTTAAGACCCATCAGTCACAGCATGCCTGTGCAATCCCAGGTACGTGACCAGCAGGTTCTCCCGCCCACTGCCATCCCCAGGCTGCTGGGGGCAACACTCCACCATCCTCACAGCGTCTTTTGAGTCGACTCAAGATGCACCATGTTTGTGCAACCCCAAGTACGTAACGAGCAGATTGACTCGCCCACTGCCGTCCTCAGGCTGCTGGGGGCAGCACTCCACCATCCTCTTAGCGTCACACCCCGTATACTCACACTCGAAGAAGTGCCGGCCAATGGGGTCGCGCCTCATCGGGGTGTGCCCACACGCCCTCCACATATGCCCATCCTGTATAGTCACATTGTCTGGGCCGTCCACTTGCACAACCGTTAGAGTCACCTGTTCTCCTTCCCCTTCTCCTTCTCCTTCCCCATTGCCTCCCCCCTCATCCTCCTCCTCTTCTGTGTCCCCATCGCTCTGATGGTCCCCCCCTTGCTCCTTCTCATGCTCTTTCTCTTGACCTTGCACATGCTCTGTCACACCAGCAATATTGGTCGCGAGAGCAGCGGTGTTGGCAACCCTGGGACTGTCGTCGAAGCGAGGCCTCTTGGTAGTTTCCCAAGCACAGGTGGCGCTGTTGACCTGGGCGTTGACTGGGTTGACTTGCTGTGAGGCGTTGACTGAGTTGACTGGGCGCACAGGTATATCCATCAGCGGTGGGCGGCTGCGTTTGTTGATTCTCGGTTGGCTGTTGCTGGTAAAGCCCTCTTTAACAGGCTGTGCCTGTGGCTGTGGCTGTGGTTGTGGCTGTGGCTGCTGCTGCTGCTGCTGCTGCCCCAGCTGCTGTTGCTGTTGCTGTTGCTGTTGCTGCTGGTATTGCTGCTGGTATTGCTGCTGGTATTGCTGCTGGTGGTGGTGATAGTACTGCTCTTGCTGCTGCTGGTGTGACTGCTGGTGTGACTGCTGGTGAGGCTGGTACGGTTTCGTGGTCGGCGCAAGTGACTCTGCTGGCACGGCGGCAGAAGCGGCTACTGTACAGTGTGCTACAGTACCATGCGTTACTGTAAAACACGCTACAGTAGCAGCTGACTGCGTGTTGGTGCGTGCAGCAGGGGGCAATTGCGGCGACAACGAAACCCCACCAGGAGTGGCGGAAATTGAAGGAGGGTGGGGAGGGGGTGACGACAGGGAGGAGCAGCAGCTGACGTGGCAGCAGGAGCAGCTGTAGCAGCAGCTGACGTGGCGGCAGCGACAGCGCAGAGCACAGGCTGCGAGAGAGAGGCAAGGAGGGCCGGGAGCTCTGAGGGTTGCACGCGCTGCAGCACTGTGAGAATGGCAGATGCTGTTTCCAGTGAAAGGGGCGGGGGAGGAGGGAGGGAGGTGGAAGGGGGAGGAGGGGGAGTTGTGGAGGGGAGGAGAGGGTGAGAGGAGGGGGATGGGACAGGCTGAGTGGCTGGAGACGAAGCTACCGCTGTTGCTGTTGCTGCTGCTGCCGCTGGTGCTGCTGTTGATGCTTCATGGTTTGGAGCAAGGCTGTGAGCGTGGCTGGGGAACTGGCTTGGTGTTTGGCTCGGTGCTTGGCTCGGTGCTCCCTGCCCTGTTTGCTTGGGTGCAAGTGCATTGGGAGGAGGGCAGCGAGAAGCAGCAGGAGCATGAGCAGGGGGAGGAGGAGCATGACAAGGGAAATGAGGAGGAGCAGTGGCAGTGGCTGGTATAGCAGCAGCAGCAGCAGCAGCATTCGAAGAGGGTACTGCAACGATGCTCCTAGTAGCATTACTGACTGTGTTGACTGTGTTGACTGTGCTGCTGAGAGTGTGGGTGACAGCATTGCTAGTGGTATAGCCAGAGCTGACTCCCTCCCCACTGCCGCTGGCAGTGATGCTGCAATGCTCTGAAGGCGGGAGCGAGAAGGAGGAGAGAGACTGGGGAGGAGGGAGTGTGAGAGGAGGGGGATAAGGCGTGGAGGCTTGGTTGAAGAGAGGGGAAAGTGGGGAGGGAGCGGGGCGAGTGAGAGGGTGGAGAGTGGTGTGAGTGAGGGAGGAAGGAGGAGGATGAGAGAGGGAGGAAGGAGGAGGATGAGAGAGGGAGGAAGGAGAGGCAGCTTGGCGTGAAATAGCCCCCAGCCGGCGATGATCAGGTGAATTGGCAGTCTGAAGCCCTGCTTTCCCTTTCCCTCCCCCCTTTATAGCAGCATCGAGCTGAGCAAACCCCCCCATATCCTCCGTTATAATCACTCTCACATCGCCCGCATGCCCAGCCGTAGCACGCCGCCCGGTTGCCGCCCCTTTCGGATGGTTGTGCTCGTCCTTGTACAGAATCTCCATGCTCCCGCCGCCCGGAGCCATCTCGGCGGTTTTTTTCGCCGGGCAGCCCGGAACAGCGCAGCGGAAATAGCCCCAGGGGAAAGAGGATCCTTTGGGCGGCTTCTGCCCGTACTTCCGCCAGGAATAACCGTCTGGTGGGAGGTCCATTCCCAACGATGGAGGGGACAACGCAGCAGGAGAAGAAGCCGCAGGGGGAGCAGTAGCAGGAGGAGCAGAAGGAGAGGCAGCAGCAGCAGGCGTGGCTGCGCGAGTTGCAGTAACATCATCCCCACCACCAGCACCAGCACCAGCACTAGCACCAGCCGCCGTCGCAGCCGCTGCTGGTGGTGGTGGTGCCGATGCCTCACCCTGCCCATCCACCACTGCTGCACAGTCACCCACTTCAGCCTTCCTCCTCCCTGCTCCCACGCCCACACTCCCTTCGACTCCGCCCCCACCTGCTCCCCCTCCTCCTCCTCCTCCTCCCCCTCCTCCTCCTCCTCCTCTCCCCATCCGTCCCAGTTGACCCCCCTCCCCCCTTGAGGGGGACCCAACTCTCCCTTTGCCTGACGGCAATTGCCCGTGCCCGGACAGAGATCGCCCGACCCTGCCTCTCTGTGTGCTTGGCGCCCTGGACATGTGGAGAGTCGTTGGGGCTGCACGGGCTGCTCCACATGCGCTGCTGGGCAGGGCGGCACCTGAGGGTGCACCTGAGGGGGCACCTGCGACAGCACCTGAGGCTGCATGTGCAGGCGTCGTGAGTGCAACAGTGCGTTCAGGTGTTGCTTCAGGTGCACGTGAGGGTTCACCTGATCGTCCACGCGAAGGTTCAGGTGCCGCTCCAGGTTTTTCATCTTTATTTCCACCACCCGCCCCAGCTACACTCGCTTCCGCAGCACTCACATTCTCGCCCCCTGTTGCTGTCAACACGTCATTTCTGATGCCTGCCTCGCTCGTGATTCCCATCCCAGCGCCACCTCCGCCGTTTCCCCCTGCAGCAGCAGCATCTGCACCGCTCCCCCCAGCAGCAGCGCCACCTCCGCCGTTCCCCCCTGCAGGGGCGCCGGTTCCCCCTGCAGCAGTGCCGGCTCCGCTGTTTCCTGCTCCCCACACTGCGGAAGGGGCGGTAGCAGGCGACACAGCAAGGCATGTGCTTGTACGGGGGGTGTACAGTAACGGGAGCAAGCTGCAGAATACTTCAAACGTCTGCTCTTTAGACGGTGCCGCACCGTCAGTTTCGTCTTGACGAACCTCACTGTTACCACCCGCGCCCGCTTCCCCAACCATGCCCGGCGCTGCTACTTCCGCCCGCCGCGCTTCCCCCGGCGCCGTTTCTCCCCCGCGCGCGGCCCTCCGCTGGTCCCCCGTCCTTGTCTGTCCCCCCGCCTCCGGTCGCGCCCATTCCTCCGCGAATGTCGCGCCAGCGGAGAGTTTTGGCGACGCTGCGACCCGTTCGCGAAGCTCGCCGACTGTCGCCTGCGGGACAGCGACTTCCTCGAGCGACGGTTCCGACGCTCGCGATGTTCGCGAAGCAGAGGCGGCGAAGCGCGGAGTCGGAATGGAGATCTCGGGTAAGGAATCTTTGTCGAAGACAAACGGAAGGGGCGGCAGAACGTGCGCAAGCGACGAGCATCCGCCGCCGCCGCCGCCGCCGCTGACGGCAACGCCCGGCGGGGCCACGGTGGATGGCGGAAGCCCCGCGGAAGCGGTCGGGGAAAAGGCGGAAGCGCAGACGGAAGCGGAAGCGGAAGCGGAAACGGGGAGGGATGCTGAAGAGACGAGGGAGGCGGAAGAGGAAGAAACAAGCGCGGGGACGGTCGCAAATGCGTCGCTTGATAGAGCCGCCGCCGCCGCCGTCAAGGCCGCGTTATTTCCCAACTCGGACGGTTCTTCGCTCTTCAGACAGTCGTTCGAATCGCTAACGTAGAACTGAGTCCGCTCTAAACGAGATAATTCTCGCTCCGCCTGTCCCGCTCTATCGTACACTTCGCAGGGATCTCGCTGCATTAAAGTCCGATTCGCGATGTGACGAGAAAGCGACGCGGCCATGCGAGTGGGCCAGCTAGCTACCGCGGCTTCGCCCGTTCCGAGCGGAAGCGGCGCAGCGGAAAGCCGCTGCCCTTCCGCCTCCCGCTGGCGCTGCTGCTGCTGCGCTCCCTGGTCTCCGCCCACCTGGCCTCCGCCACAATGCGCCGATTTTTCCGCGCCCCTTTCAAGCAGGGGTTTCCCGCTTTCGCCTTTTCCCCACTCCTGTTGCTGCTGCGGCTGCAGCTGCGACTGCTGCGGCTTCTCCGCTCGTCGCGCTCCTTGCTCCGTGTACCGCGTTCGATCAGTCCGCCAATGCTCCGCGCGCCCATCGTCCGCCAGGCGGGGCGCTAAACCAGCGGACTCGCACCGCGGCGCGACATTATCGTCGCATCTACTATCGCGGGAATCCAGGAGTCTCGGCGTGCGTCGTCTCGTTTCAAAACGCTCCCTCTGCCGCCTGTACTCTGCCCGCGCTTCGTCCGTTGAACGGGCCGTCGTCGCCACGTCAGCCTTAGACGCCAAGGTCGTTGTGGTAGGATTCTGCTGTTGTGTGTCTTCTTCGATCCGTTGCTGCAGCGGCAGCCCTTTTTGCTGCAGCTGCTGCACGCTCCTTTGCTGCTGCTGTTGGAACGGCTCGCGTCCTTCTTTCTCCTCGAGACACGTCTGTTTCGGCTCAGCGTTGCGCCGCGTACGGCGGCAAAGCGACTCAACGAAGCTCTGGTCATGGCGTGCTTCTTGGAGTTGGGGTTGCGACGAAAACGCGTGGGCTGGAATTTGGTCGGTGGGAACCGCGTGTCTATCCGATAGTTGCTGCAGCCGACGGCGGTGTGGGGAGGAAGACGATGAGGGCGAGGGAACAGAGCAGTCTTTTCTGCTGCTTGCCTTGAGCGCTGGGTTGTGTGGGTGGTTGGCCGACATTTTTGCACATGTCGCGAGATGACGAGTGCAAGGGAAGTTTGTGTACCTGAGAAGGATATACTGTATTTCGATTCTCGATTGCTTCAAAAAATGAGGTGCGAGATGGAATGGGAGAAATTTGTGATTGTGGCAATGTTGGGGGTATTTACAGTTCAGGCACCAGGAGTAATGGCGAGGATCAGTGTGCTTGTGTGTGAATCGAGGGGTTGACGGGCGGTGAGTTGATTTCAGATCTGGAGTAAGAGTAGGTCAGCGCACAGAAGACCGCGATGCGACTACCGGTTCAGGCGAGGGGAGACTGCGATGCGACGCGCGGTCACAAGGGGGTCCACGATTTGCAAACCAGGTTCCGTAATTCTGCGGCGAGAGTAATTGACTGCGGTCAACGACAAACTTTGGCGTTAGATTGAGGTCTGCACCTGAAAGTACAACGCGATACAGCTACTGACACGTGGAATGACCTCATGGGTGAAAAAGAAAGCGAATGCACCCGATGAGGCTGGAGGAAGTAGGTGCGATTCTGTGTTGTCTTTTGCCCACGTCTATCTTGTCGTCTATTGAAGACCAAATCAAATTCTGATTTAGCCAATGCATCATGTGCATGTCAGAAGCTTGAGACTGTGCAGTTGGAAAATGAATTGAACATATGTTTCCATAATATACTTCCAAAAGCAGTAACGTTTCAGAGTTTGTTGTGTCAATTTTCGTCCGTTTGAAATAAACGATAACAAATGCTAAGCAGTATGACTGCACCCGGAAAACTAATGGAAAGAAGAAACATTCCAGATTTCTCCATCCCTTTTTTTGGCGTGCAGCAATTCCCACATGCCGACCGACGCGCGAGAGAGGGAAAACGATAACTACTCCCAGTTGCTGTGGGCCAGTGCATCCAGTGCCACGACAATTTGGCAGTTATCAACGAATTCCAAACACCCCGCCGTCAAGCCAACCTCTACGAAAAGCAAACCGCTTTACGCTGACGCGTTTGAGCGCTCCTATATCACCCTATTCGAATTAAAGCACCCCGCACTTTAGCCCTACAATGCCTCTCTACTACTTATTTACATCAGCCTAAAGACTACCATTCACGCATGTAAGCACTACTCAATAAAAAAATGATACTACCCAATCAGCCGCTGCCTACTGACGGAGGTAACCACTTGTGATTTGAACGCAGTGGCCGAGAATTGTAGTGCCGTGTCTCGAATCATGAAGCCAAAGTACGCGAGACCCAAAATGCCAGCTACCACCGCAGTCACAAGGTACCACCACTGCAAGGGACATACATATAGAAGGAATTGAATCAAAAGAGTTAGGGTTAATCTTTCAGAATTGTTTGAAAGTTTTGTATGGAGGGGTTCATTGCCATGCACAACCGTCCTCTTCTCCTTCCCCTCCCCCACACCCCCCTTTCCCCCAACCCGCCCACCTTCTTTTCCTCAACTCACATCCTGGTTGCCGCCATAGAACTGCCCGTACAAGTCAATCCCGAGGAACACATTGGCGCATCCCATGGCAATCGCCGCGATGCCCATCGCCCAGTGGAATGTCAGCCATGCGGAGCGGTGGGACGTGCCCTTGTCGGGGCGGAAAAAGCCCAGGAAGGGCTGCACGAGGGTGAGGGCCAGAGCCACCACCCCCAGCTTGCCGTGTGTCCACTCCAGGCCCTGGGAACCCGCCACCACGAATACCATTATGGCCGCCGTTACCACCAGGATAACCGCACAGATTTGAATGTACCTGGGAAGGTGGGAGGGATTTGGCAGGAGGTGGAAGGTGGAAGGTGCAAAGTGGCAGGGTTGAAGAGGATCAATTCTCGTGGCGTCTCAAAAGGCCGCACATTGTGTACCAGAGACATAATGAGTGGACTCTGGTTCCCCTGCCACAAGTGTGGGGCGGTCATTGGGAAACCCCCTTACCGCCTCACACCTGCTTCAACCCCCCTGCCCCCCCTTCTTACTTGTGGCAGAGGAACCAGAGGGCTCGGTTGGGCTGGGAGTCCTTTTCCTCCTCGGAGGGGCGGTCGTAGAGGAAGAGGCACAACACCTCCCTCGCTCGCCCCACATTCTAGAGGATATCAACCCCTACACCCCCAATAATGGCTCAATTATTGACATGATGATAGCAGATGATTGACTCACTTGTGACAGAGGAACCAGAGGCCTCTGTTGGTGTGCGTTTCCTTCTCCTCCGAGGGCAGAGTGGGGCGGTCGTTGGGGATGCCCCTTACCGCCTCACACCTGCTTCAACCCCACTACCCCCCTTTCTTACTTGTGGCAGAGGAACCAGAGGCCCTTGTTGGTGTGCATCTCCTTCTCTTCCTCGGAGGGCAGAGTGGGGCGGTCGTAGAGGAAGAGGCGAGCGAGGAGCATTCTCCTCTCTTGCCCCACTTACAACCCCAAACCCCCATGATGACTCACTTGTGGCAGAGGAACCAGAGCCCTCTGTTGGTGTGAGTTTCCTTGTCTTCATCCGAAGGCAGAGTGGGGCGGTCGTAGAGGAAGAGACGCGCGAGGAGCACTCCTAGCGGCATGAGCAGCGCGTAGGCGAGTGCGAGCATGATGCCATGCGCCAAGAGCACTGCTTGCTTGCTGCTGTTGCTGCTGCTGCTGCTGCTGGTGACTGGAGCAGAGGGGCTGTTCATGAATGCTACTGAGGCAGACCCACTGGATGGAGAGAATAGGGGAGGGTGGGGAGAGGGGAGGGAGAGAAGAGGCATGAGCAGCGCGTAGGCGAGTGCGAGCATGATGCCATGCGCCAAGAGCACTGCTTGCTTGCTGCTGCTGCTGTTGCTGCTGACAGGGGTGGCCGTGCTGTTCATGAATGCTACAGAGGCCGAACCACTGTAGGGGAGAGAGTAGGGGAGGAAGAGAAGAAACATGAGCAGCGCATAGGCGAGTGCGAGTAGAGGTGGTGGTGCTGCTGACAGGGGCGGCCGTGCTGCTCATGAATGCTACAGAGGCAGAACCACTGGAGGGAGTGAAGACACATGAGCAGCGCATAGGCGAGTGCGAGCATGATTCCATGCGCCAAGAGCACTGCTTGCTTGCTGCTGGTGCTGCTGACAGGGGCGGCCGTGCTGTTCATGAATGCTACAGAGGCAGAACCACTGTAGGGGAGAGAGTAGGGGAGGAAGAGAAGAAACATGAGCAGCGCATAGGCGAGTGCGAGTAGAGGTGGTGGTGCTGCTGACAGGGGCGGCCGTGCTGTTCATGAATGCTACAGAGGCCGAACCACTGGAGGGAGTGAAGACACATGAGCAGCGCGTAGGCGAGTGCGAGCATGATGCCATGCGCCAAGAGCACTGCTTTCTTGCTGCTGCTGTTGGAGGTGTTGACTGGTGGGGTTGTGCTGTTTATGAATGTGACTGAGGCAGAACCAGTGGAAGGTGGGGTTGTGGAAGAGTAATGGCAATTACTCTCTTGTCATGAGAGAAGAGAAGAGAAGAGAAGACAAGGATACGAGGGCAAGAGGGGAAGAGGAGGCATGCATGACGATCTGTCATGAGGCAAGACGAGGCCTGACGATTTATCCTCAAGCAAAACTCGACCCACCAGTTGGAGCCATGGAAGATAAGCAATTGCTGATTGGAGAAGGCCCAGATGACTGTAATTGCCTGAGCTTTGACTCAGGTTGCTTCTCTTTTCACGAGTGACGACGCATGGGGCAAGAGGCATGAGAGGATGAGGCACAAACAGGCGGGACGCACCAGTTGGAGCCGTGGAAGCTGAGGGACGGCTGATCAGAGAAGGACCAGATGACTGTGGTGCTGCCGTCCGCATTGATGGGTGCCGTGCCGTCTGTTGTCGAGCGCTCAAACCTGCTCGTAGAGGGGTTGCAATGCAAAGCGAAGCAGTCAGAGAGAGAGGCAGCACACACAGGCATAGGCAGAGCAGGGCAGTAAGGGATCCTCAAAACCCGCTTGTCGTATCCACATCCCTCATAGCACCAACCGGAATTACATCTCCCTGAACTCACTTCATGATGGTGCGTCCATTGCTGGTTTCAACTGAATAATTGAGAGTTTTGAACTGAACTGGTTTCAAAAACTCTGGGCTGCCCACATGTAACAAAAGCAGCCAGCCAGCCCAGTAGCAGCCCGCACTCACCTCATGATGGTGCGGCCATTCTTGCTCTCCACAACAGTGTTCGCGAGCGTGAAATCCCCCGAAGGCACCACCTCGCTCTCCTCGTACCCGCCGATGTAAAACGCGCCCACTGCTGCTCCATTGGCTACGGCACCGAACGGCAGGTTCCCAATAGCTGCATCGGATGGTGCCATGCGTCCACCACGCGACCAGCCCAGGGAGAGGAAACCGGTGGTTGCTGCCTCTGCTGCTATTGCGACAGACGAGGGACCGAGGGGCTTCCAGTGTAGAATGAAACTGCATTGGGGGCATGGGGGGTGGTGGAGAGGGAAGAGCGAAGGAGGGGATGGGAGAGGGGTGGGTGAGAAGCCGAGGTTCCCACTGCCGCTCCGTTGGCTATGGCGCCGAACGGCAGGTTTCCAATGGCGGCATCGGATGGTGCCATGTGGCCTCCCCGCGACCAGCCCAGGGAGAGGAAACCGGTGGTTGCTGCCTCCGCTGCTATTGCCACGGAGGACTTGCTGAGAGCCTTCCAATGCAGGATGAAGCTGCGTGGTTGAGGGAAAGGGCAGAAGAAGAGGATTGAAAAAGGGGGAAGGGCAAGGGGAGAGGATGGGGGAGGGGATAGGGGAAGAGTGGGTGAGAGTAAGCAGAGGTTCCCAATGGCTGCAATGGAGGGTGCCTTGCGGCCACCGCGCGACCAGCCGAGGGAGAGGAAGCCGGTGGTTGCTGCCTCCGCTGCTATTGCGACGGCGGTCTTGCTGAGAGCATTCCAATGCAGGATGAAGCTGGATAAGGGGGGGGGAAGGGGAGGGGGGAGAGGAGGGGGGAGAAGGTGGAAGGGAGAGGGAGATAAATGGGACCAGCCGAGGGAGAGGAATCCGGTGGTGGCTGCCTCGGCTGCTATTGCCACGGAGGTCTTGCTGAGAGCATTCCAATGCTGGATGAAGCTGGATTGGGGGGCATGGGGGATGGTGGAGAGGGGAGAGCGAAGGATGGGATGGGAGAAAGGTGGGTGAGAAAAAGCACGTGCCCCATGAAGAGTCGTTGCAAGGGGTAACAGTCCACTCAAGAGTTCCCCCTCATTGGGCTGCTACCCCTCGCCTCTGTTACCCCAACGATAGCACCCCAACGTAGGGTTAACAGTCCACTCCACCACCCCCCACTCAAGAGTTCCCTTGCTCCTGTTACCACAACTAGGCCACTCACTTGTCGCCACTGAGCTTCAAGGAGCAAGTGTAATTCGCCAGGGGAGATGGAGAGCATCCCAGCATTGCTGCTAGTGATGGTTTTGCTGTTACCACGTGCACACTACTCTTGCGTTACCATAATCACGTGTTACTCACTTGTCACCGCTGAGCTTCAAGGAGCAAGTGTAATTCGCCAGAGGGGAGGGCGAGCATCCCAGCATTGCCGCTTCTGCAGCTGCCACTGCTGATGCTGATGCCTTTGCTGGCTTTGGTTTTGCTGCTGCCGGTGCTGGTGCTGACGGTGCTGCTACTGCTGGTTTTGACGGTTTTGACGGCTCTGCAACCCCTGGTTCTGACGGCTGGGCGGCAACTGACGGGGGCGCTGCCACTGCTGGTGACGATGCTGGTGCGTCCAGAGCAGGCGGCAGAGGGGCAGAGCCGTGGGTGTCGGCAGGTGAGCAGTTGAAATAGACCAGGGCGGAGCCCCTGGAAGAGGAGAGCGAAGGGGATGGGAAAGGGAGGGGAAGGGTGGAGAGGAAGGGAAAAAAGGTGAGAGCAGGCGGCAGAAGGGCGGAGCCGTGGGTGTCGGCAGGTGAGCAATTGAAATAGACCAGGGCGGAGCCCCTACAAGGGGGGAGAGGAGAGGAGATGGGAAGGGTAAGAGAGGGGAGGGGTGGAAAGGAGGTTGAAAGTGGTGAGGGCAGTGTGGCAGAGGAACAGAGCCAGGCGTGTTGGTATGCGTGCAGTTCAAGTTGACTGAGTCAACCAAGTCAACCGAGTCAACAAAGCCACCAAGGCTGTACACCACCCCAGACCAAATCCCTCTTAAATCATACTCGTTACAACCGTACCTGTTGAGAGGTCCGTGGCCGGCAAGGGTCCTCGTCTCATCAGCCGAGAAAGCCCAAATGATGCGGTTACCACCCGACAGCGTTACAGGCGCTAGTCCATCAATAGTGGTCCTGGCAAATTGCAGAATCGTGCTCCCATTGGCTACTGGCGCTTCGGCCACTCCAATGCCGCCACCTGCCGGCGCGCCATTGGCTGATGGCGTGAGTGTGACTATACTGGGGGCGCCGATAGCAAAGGCAGAGGTGGCCGAGATTGTAGCGAGGGTGCGACCTGTGATGGTGTATGCACTAATAGCACCGCCTGTAGTGTGAAGAAGAAAAGGGGGGTAGTGGGGGGGGGCGGGGGGCGGGGAGGGGGGGGGGGGAGGAGGGGGGGGGAGGGAGGGGGGGGGGGAGAAGGCGAGTCAGTTGGTTGGGAATGCACGTCCGTGATTGGTGTAGGCAGAAATTTACCCCAGCTCGTCACAGATTCGTCAATCTCAAACCAGTCACGGAGGCCCAAACCCAACCAAGTGTTAAAAAGAGAAAATGTGAGACGCGAGCTTTAATCGGAGGGAAACATCTTGTTACACTCGCCCCATCCCACTCCACCCCACTCCACTCTCCCGGAATCAAGAGCACTCACCTGCCGTGTTGCCAATGATGGCATCGGAGGGGAACATCTTGCCCTTCTCGCTCCACCCCACGGCCACCCCAAGCTCACCCCCACCACTCTCAACCCCATGCTCACCACTCTCAACCACAGGTATTACCTGCCGTGTTGCCAATGATGGCATCGGAGGGAAACATCTTGCCCTTCTCGCTCCACCCCACCGCCACCCACCCCTTCTCCGCGCCACTCCCCGGCCGCGCCTCCAACGCAAAACGCACGAGCGTGGGGGACGCCACAGCCCAATGTAGCACCAGCCTGGAGAGGGGGGGAGGGGAAAGGAGAGCGGGGGAGGGGGTTTGAGAGAGCTGTTCCGCGCCACTCCCCGGCCTGACCTCCAGGGCAAAGCGCACGAGTGTGGGGGACGCCACAGCCCAATGCAGAGAGTTCCATGGTCGAACAGAGAGGGTGGAGGAGAGGAGGGGAGAGGAGGGGAGGAGGGGAGAAGAGGGGAGAGGAAGGGAGAGAAGGGGAGAGGAGGGGAGAGGAGGGGAGAGGAGGGGAGAGGAAGGGAGAGGAGGGGAGAGGAGGGGAGAGGAGGGGAGAGGAGGGGAGAGGAGGGGAGAGGAGGGGAGAGGAGGGGAGAGGAAGGGAGAGGAGGGGAGAGGAGGGGAGAGGAGGGGAGAGGAGGGGAGAGGAGGGAGAGGAGGGGAGAGGAGGGGAGAGGAGGGGAGGATGGGAGAGGAAGGGAGAGGAGGGGAGAGGAGGGAGAGGAGGGGAGAGGAGGGAGAGGAGGGGAGAGGAGGGAGAGGAGGGGAGGGGAGGGGAGAGGAGGGGAGGATGGGAGAGGATGGGAGAGGAGGGGAGAGGAGGGAGAGGAGGGGAAAGGAGGGAGAGGGGAGAGGAGGGAGAGGAGGGGAGAGGAGGGAAGCAGAGGGGAGAGAAGGGGAGAATAGGTGCCCAGTGCGCACCCAGTGTGCACAAAGTCACTTTTGGGTCGACTCAGAAGCTAGTGCGCGCCAGTGTGAACAACACCCTCGTTATTCCATTGTAATCCCCTTCGCTACACTCACTTGTTCCGCACCAACGGTGCCACGAATGAGTATCCGGTAAGGGTAGAGGCTTGGCAGGCCGAACCTCCTGCCGAACCTGCTGGAGCGGGGACCACCGGAGGTTTGGTAACTGGAGGCTTGGTAGCAGGCTTGGTCACAGGAGGTTTGGTGACTGGCTTGGCAACAGGAGGTTTGATAACAGGCTTGGTAACAGGCTTGGTGACGTTGGTTTTGGGGAGGGGAGGTTTGGCAACAGGAGGCTTGATAACAGGCTTGGCAACAGGTGGCTTGATGATCGGCTTGGTAACAGGCTTGGTAACGGGCTTGGTAACAGGCTTGGTAACAGGCTTGGTAACAGGTTTAGCAACGGGAGGCTTGATAATCGGCTTCGTGACTGGCTTGGGAACTGGCTTGGTAAGAGGAGGCACAAGAGGATCGGCCGGAGCAGCAGCTGAGGGTGGGGCAACAGCGTCTGCATGGCACAACGAACGGGGGTGGGGGGAAGGGGAGAGGAATATGGGAGAATGGGTGAGGGCGCATGAGAGAGGAAGTGAGTGGAGTGAGAAGAATGACGGAGCATGACAGAGCATCAAAGAGCATTGTCAAAGGAGCAGGACAGGTCTTGACGGCTGTGCTGTGGTTGGGGCCGTGGTGCAGTAACAGTCCATCACAGTCAACGCACCAGCTCAGCTCATTACTCCACCACCAGCACGTACCAGTGCCACACGAGAGGTCCATGATAGCAGTGCCCTTGTTGGGGCCGTGGTAGCCCAGTGCGTGCGAGGCAATTCAAGACCAACCCACATATCATTACACAAGCGCCACACACACGTACGCCAGGGGCTCAACACACGTACCAGTGCCGCACGAGAGGTCCATGATAGCAGTGCCCTTGTTGGTGCCGTGGTAGCCCAGCGCGTGGGCGCCGTCGTTTGAGAAGGCCCAGATGATCTTGTTCTTGCCCGTCAGATTCAAAGGCACCGTGCCGTCAGTAGCGTTGCGGGTGAATCTGAGGTGAGACAGGGGGAAGAGAAAGAGAGTAGGGGACAGACGGGTGAGAGCCGTCGCTTGAGAAGGCCCATATGACCTTGTTCTTGCCCGTCAGGTTCAGAGGCACCGTGCCGTCAGTAGCGTTGCGCGTGAACCTGAAAGAAGGTAAGGGGTGGGAAGGGGGAGAAGATGGACAGAGAAAAGGTGTTGTGTGCAATCTGTGATCAACGTGCTGCCATCGGGGGTTTCACTCAGCGCCTTGTTCTGCCCCAGCTTCATCACGTGACTCGCCACCACCGCATCCGGGGAGCGCCCCGAGAGCGCGTATCCTGCTGAAACAGGAGTTGCGTGCACTCGTAGGCATCACTCTCACTCACCCCATCACAGATTGAGAGAGCAACCACTCACTCCATCAACGTGCTGCCCTCGGGGGTGGCACTCAGCGCCTTGTTCTGCCCCAGCTTCATCACGTGACTCGCCACCACCGCGTCGGGGGTGCGCCCCGAGAGCGCGTATCCGCGCACCATTCCGCCCACCAGGTTCCCCACGACCGCGTCCGCGTGCGCCATTCCGCCCGTCGCGGACCACCCCACGGCGAACCACCCCGCGGTTGCCGGACCTGGCCACGCCTCCACAGCCATCCGCACCTTCCCGGACGGCTTGGGCGGGTTCCAGTGCAGGAGAAGGCTGGGGGGAAGGGCGGGGGGGGTTGATGAGGGAAGGAAGGGAGGAAGAGGAAGAGTGCGGAGGGGAGTGAGTGGTTTCGCCTCCACACCTATCTGCACCTTTCCGGACGGCTTGGGAGGGTTCCAGTGCAGGAGAAGGCTGGGGGAAGGGGGGGGGTGAGAGCAGGGGGGAGGAGGAGAAGGAGGGGGGAGGAGGGGGAAGGAGGGGGAAGGGGGGGCGGGAGTGAGTGGCTGTGCCTCCGCCCGTGAGCGCGTATCCGCGCACCATTCCCGCCACCAGGTTACCCACCACTGCGTCAGCCACTTCTTGGCTCAGCTTGGCACAACCTTGGTAGTACCGTCCAGTCCTTTAGTTCCCTTCCCCCCGTCCCCTCTTTCGCCCCCGTTTCACTCACTAATGGGCTTTCAGTTTGACGAAGAACTTGTAACCCGCCTTCGGGGACTCGCGACAACCTTGGGGTGTTTTGCCCTCGGGAGTACCGCCCCCGGGAGCACCTCCCCCAGGAGCACCGCCTCCGGGAGTGCCGGCCCCGGGAGTGCCGACCGCGGGAGTGCCGGCCCCGGGAGTGCCGACCGCGGGAGTGCCGACCGCGGGAGTGCCGGCCCCGGGAGTATTGGGTTTAGGAGTGCCGGCCCCTGGCAACCCCCCCGTATTTGACTCTTTCTTGACACTTCCGTCCATGCCCGCGCCGGGGGCCAGCTTGGGCGGAAGCGGAAGCGGAAGCGGAAGCGGAGCCTTCGGGGTTGGAACTGGGGAGGCTTCTGGGGCGACTGGGGAGGCCTTGGAGGATGGCGTGGGCACAGCTCCGCCGGCCGGGTCTTCCGCCTCCGCGCGCCTGCAGGACATGTCCGCTGTTGCCGTTCCGCTGAGTAGAGGGAGCGGGAAGGGGCAAGGGTGAAGGGGGATGGTGGGAGGTGGGGTAGGAAATGGGAAGGGGGAAGGGTTGGGGGAAAGGAAACGATTAGACGGGTTGGCGCAGGAAGGCATGGGGAGATTAGTCCGGCACAAGTAGGGGGAGCAGGCAGGGTGGGGCCAAGTAAGGAAGGCGGAAGGGGGGTGGCAGGTGCGTGGAGAAGAGTCACTTGAAGAGACAGAAACACGCTTTCTGTAGCACGAAGCGTTGTTACATGCTAATTTACAATTTTATTTTCTTTTATGCAGTTACACATCATACGCGGGACTTACACGTTCTCTCCGTGGAATGCGAACTGGGTCGTCCCATCCGCGGTGTACGCCCAGATCAGCGTGTTGGGACCCTTCATGTTCACCGGAGCCAGCCCGTCGGTCCCACGCCGCGCAAACCTGCGCGCAAGGGGGAATTCGGGAGGACGCGCGGGGGCGATGAAATGGAAAAGAAAGGTTCGTGCTTGCTGTCATACGACTCAACTGGTGTTAAAGCCAGCAACTCAGTTGTGGTTTACTCTGACGCACTCTACGCATCGCTTGATCCTGGTATGACTTCGCTACCTTCCCCTTCTCTAGAGCCAGTCCTGCAATTTTTTTACTAAACTCACTTTATAACCTTCGAGCCGTCCGGTCGCACGAACATCCCCGCGTTCGACCCCAGCGAGATCGACGCGTTGGGAACCACGAGAGCCGCGTCCTCTCCGCGCATGCTGTACATGCGCGCGCTTCCGTCGGGTAAATTACCCACGATCGCGTCCGCGGGGAACATCTCCCCGTCGCGCGACCATCCCACGGAGAACCACCCCTTGGCGACGCCGAAGCCCGCTCGCGCCTCCAGCGCCATCATCGAGATTCCCCCCGCGCCTGGCTCGCGCCAGTGGAAGAGGAACCTGCGGGGAGGGGGGGAGCGGGGGAGTGCGGGAAGCGGACAGGTGGGGGGGTGCGGGAGGCGGAAAAGTTGGGGATGGAAGGGGGAAGAGGCGGAAAGGATTGGGGAAACGGATAGGAGGTGGTGGAAGCGCAAGTCAGGAGAAATTGAGGTGAAGCGCAACTTCTTGCGCGCCGCGGAGGAAACAATGTCCATCTGAGTCACGCAAACCAGGGGGAAGTTCGCACAGCTGTCACCACTCATGTAAAAGCTTCGCTCACCCCCTATTTTTCAACGTCGTCTGAAAGTCGTAACCCTTGAGCGACGACGGTTCGCAGACGGGAGACTGTGCGAACCCGGAGGCTGCGAGGCCGAGGGAGACGAAGGCGAGGACGAGGAGAGAGAAGCGGGTGGAGAGTACAGCGGACGCGCCGCGTTGGCGCGCCATGAGTATCGTAGTGATCATTAACGGTGCGCACTATTAGTGAGGATATGAGGATACGTAGACCCTTTCTCCTGCGAGCTGGTCGACTAAGAGCACAAGCTGAAACGAATGAGGGCTACTTGTCGAAACAGGACGACATTTAACCCGTTGCTTGCCTGCTTCTGCCGCTTCTAGTTGCAGTGTGGGGCGGCTGGTTCGATTCGCTCTCGCTGGCGCTTTTCGTTCTCTACCCTAGTCCCTACTTCGCTTCTACTCTCTCACCATCTCCTCTCACGTGCGTCACCGTTTCTCGAGCCGTGGCTGATAAGCCGAGAATCTCTGAGCCAATGGATGTCGAGAGCAAGCCCCTCCCTTTACGGGCCAAGTGGTGTCGGTGTGAGCAGCCGCGTACGTGCTTGCTTGCTTCATCCTATGAGCGGTGGTGGTTTTAGTAGGATATGTGGGGCAGAGACAGGATAGCACCAGGACCAGGCGCCGTGAACTCAGGAGCGAGCAGCAGCGTGCATTTGAATTGTTGGCGTTTCGGATTGAGAGAACGGAAGGGCAGGAGAACACCTGCAGCACGCAGGCGAATTTCTGAGCATTGCAGGATGCGATTCGGGTTTGACTGGTAGTTGCGATGCGCTTCAATGTTCCTACCGAACCGAAAGGCTGGTGCGACCCGTAAAGCACCTCAGCGGGTTTTCCCGAAACCCGAACCAAAGCTACTGCTTTGGCGTTTCTGGCGAAGTACTTTGCCGACGGTATCCTGGTTTTCGAGAAAATCACGAAACGGGCGAGAGCGAGCGAGAGGGATGTACGAACATAGGTAAGCGCATCCAAACCAAACATTCGAAGCCAGCGCCTCGATCCCTTTTTTCGCACCCCTGAACGCATGAATTGTTCTCGATAAACAATGACTTTATGTTTCTCGCTTGATTCTGGCTACATTTCTTCAAACTTTAAACTCTTATCGGAGATCACACAATTAAATCTCACTAACTTAGCATTTCCCACCTTGCCAGCTGAATCACATACATACATCCCGTTACGCTCCACTTACTGAACCAAATTTTGCTGTTGTTCCAATCATTCTTGCTGATCATGATATATTGCAACTATACACGTTGAAAACAAGCCTATAACCTGGTTTTGAGTAACAGTAACAGCAGAATCTCCTTGTTAGGGCAACAAGGCCGGGTTAGACTTTAATGCTCTGCTGCGACTTACCCATGTCATGCGCCGAGTTAGCAATAAGCCACTTGACATCGTATCGCAACCACCTTTCACCCGAAAGGAGCTCGCTTAGGTTGCACAACCCCTCCGTTACCCCCACAGTTGTGACAAATCCCCCAGTAAAACTCCCAGAGCTTTTTCCAAATCGCCCACTGGCGCACCCTCCTCGCCACCGTGTGTTGCTCTTCATACCCCCCGCATTGGCACGTTGAACACCCACATCCTCCGCCGCTACTATGATCGTCGTCGTCGTCGTCATCATCGTCGTCGTCGCCGTCGTCGCCTTTACAGTTGATGCTGCAAGGCCTGGGCGTTCTGCTCTGCGGCGCGCGGATGATCTGCGGTGGGTAGTGGCACGAGTAGTCCACAATGGCAATGCCCCTGGTGGGAAAAGAGAGCGGGTTGGGGAAAGTGAGCAGGTGGGAAAGGAGAGCAGGGCGGGAAAGAGAGCAGGTGGTTTGGCCGACTTTTGAGTCGACTCGAAAGTGATACGCGGTGGGTAGTGGCACGAGTCCATAATGGCAATGCCCCTGGTGGAAAACGAGAGCAGGGTGGGGAAAGAGACTCATGGCACATGGCAACTCACATGGCACATGGCAACTCACATGGCACATGGCAACTCACATGGCACATGGCAACTCACATGGCACATGGCAACTCACATGGCACATGGCAACTCACATGGCACATGGTAACTCACATGACACATGGCAACTCACATGGCACATGGCAACTCACATGGCACATGGCAACTCACATGGCACATGGCAACTCACATGGCACATGGCAACTCACATGACACATGGCAACTCACATGGCACATGGCAACTCACATGACACATGGCAACTCACATGACACATGCGAACTCACATGGCAGCGCCGTGGTAGGAGAGCGTGGTCATGGCATTTCGCGAGTGCGCCCATATGACCCAGCTCTTCCCCTCTATGTGGAATATCGACTGCGACCCCGTGCCATTCTCCCGAGAAAACCTGGGGGTGGGGGGGGAGGTTTGACGGGGAGGAAAGAAAGGGTTTTCTTTATAGCTGGGAGGAAGAGGGAGAGGGAGAGAGAGCAAGAAATAAAGAGAGAGAGACTGTCTGTACCCTGCCTGAATCAATACAAAGGACCGTTTGAGAGAGAAACTTCAAAGTCAACTCAAAAGTCAAAGGTCAACTCCAGCAGCATCACTCACTTGACGATAGTGGAGCAATCCGGCGCCGCCTCAACAGTCTTGTCGAATCCGAGCGAAAAGTTCATGGTGGGAAATACCTGCGTTCGCCGGTAACCAGTCATTTCGTACGCAGCTACACCTGGCGTGTTACCAATCACGGCGTCAGCGGGAGCCATCTGGCCGTTATCGGACCAGCCTATACCGAGCCAGCCCGACCCCGCGTAGCTGTCTTGCGTGGCCTCGAGCGCCATGTGTACTGTGCGGTTCTCCACGATCCAATGCAGAATGAGCCTGCCATGACTCACGTGCAAGGGGGCAGAGGTTTGAAAGAAAGACTTAAGTGTCTATTCGCGTGGCCTCGAGCGCCATGTGCACTGTGCGGTTCTCCACGATTCAATGCAGAATGAGCCTGCCACACATGACACCACCATTACCCGACACGCAAGGGGGAGAGCTTTGAGAATGTATCACACGACACGCAAGCAGGATACTTTTGAGGATGTGTCCAAAGTGTGAATTCGCGTGGCTTCGAGAGCCATGTGCATTCTGGGGGCCACCAAGGAGGTCAGTACAGAATCATTCTGACACCGACAAGGAGGTCACTGGGGGCGGTGCGGAGAGGAAGGCGGCCACCTGACTTGCTTGCAGCCAAGGGGGTGGTGCCGAGAGCAGAGCAAAGAGAACGCACTGAGAACCAAAAGTATACATATCGTATGTTGAACCAGACATATAACGTACTACCAGACATATAACGTACTAACAACCAGAAATTTGACGGAAACAAGACCAGAGTTCAGGGTGTGGGGTTTCGGGTTTAGCGTTAGGACGCACTTAAGACACGAGTAAGTACTTACTTAGAGTCGTATAGTTGCGCCGGGAGAGTCGATGGCGGCAGGGAGCTAAGAGTTTAGGACCAGAAGGATGGCGCACATAGGATCAGAGTCAGGACGTACTTGGAGTCGTAGAGCTGCGCCGAGTAATTATAACCCGGGAGAGTCGACGGCGGGCAGGCATTCCCCATCTCCACCTCCTTTTCGCACTCTCCCCCCTCCTCCTCCCCTCCCTCCCCTTCCGATGACGACGGCGGAGGATAATAACCGGGCGCAGAGTCTTCCCCCTGCCCACCGTCGCCGTAGCCGCCGCCGCCGCCGCTGCTGCCGTACTCGGGGTTTGTCTCTTGTGACGGCGGAGGGTAACCAGGCGCAGCGGTGCTCGGTTTGCGCGCATAGCCTCCCCCCTGCCCGCCGCCGCCGCCGCTGCTGCCGTACTCGGGGTTTGACTCTTTCGACGGCGGAGAAGGCGCGGAAGGCGCGTAAGGCGCGGAGGGAGGATCATCGTACGCGGGGTCTTGTTGGGGATCTTGCTCGTACCCGGGTTCCTGTGGCACCGCTTGCTTCTTTGGGGTGTTTCCGCTGTTGCCGCTCGATTTGGGTTTCTGTTGCGCCCCTTGCTTCTTCGGAGTGTTTCCGCTGCTGCCGCTCGATTCCGGTTGCTTTCCATAACCATCTTTGTTAATAGGTTTAGAAGGTGAGCTTTTCTCTCGGCCGCCTCCTGACGTCTCCTGTGTCGGGTCGTACAGTGCCCCATCTCCGTTATCGTTAGTAGGAGGGTCGTTATTTGCGGAATTAGAACCGTCATTAGTAGAGCCGTTGTCAGTGGGCGAAGGTTTTGGGTCTGTAGCAGGAGGGTCATCGGTTGTAGCAGGCGGGTCATCTGCTGCTGCAGGCGGGTCGGCTGTAGCAGGCGGGCCATCGGCTGCTGCAGGCGGATCGGCTGTAGCAGGCGGGTCGTCTGTAGCAGGCGGGTCGGCTGTAGCAGGCGGGTCGGCTGTAGCAGGCGGATCGGCTGCAACAGGCGGGTCGGCTGTAGCAGGCGGGTCGTCGGCTGTACCTCCAGAGTCCGGGCTGCGATTGGCGGGTGAATGATCCACAAAAGGCTCGTCTTGCGTGGGGAGCCCGTCGGTGCCGCCGCCATTGCCGCCGCCATCGCCGCCGCCGTCGCTGCTGGAGCCTCCTTGTTTACTAGGCACTTCTTGGGTATCCGACGGGCCTTGACCATCGGTCGCGTTACTATCGCCGCCATCGGTGGACGTGCTAGGATCGCTGAAACTCCAGTCCCACATGCCGTCGTCTCTGCTCTTGCCGCCACTGCCAGTTCCTCCTCCTTCTTCCGTTGTGCTTCCGCCACCACCGCTGCTGCCGCTCTCTTTCGAGGTAACCGCGGGCTTTCCGCTCGAGGAGTCTCGCTGATCTTTATTGGCAGGTCCGTCTACGGCGGGGTCGACTATATCAAGAGAAACATCTTCTGACGTGGCGCTTTGAGCATACGCCGCACCCGCGGGCGTGATGTGACTGGCTAGCGCAGCGACGGGGAAGGATGCCACCAACGCGGCGGAACAGAGAACGAGAAGGCATCGCCATGTTTTGAAATGTCTCCGTCGCGAAACCGATCTCGATCCTTGGTGCTGCGCCATCGGAAACTAGTGCTGGGTTCTCTTACCCTGTATGCTGCATGCTTGACGACAAAGCTACGAAGTATTCTAATTAACAGCTAACAGCTACGTAGCGGCTCTAGTCTATGTGGGTTGCGCCAAGGCTGTCTGAATCGTTCTATTCGTGGACGAAGTCTCGCTGCCAAACTGAACGTCCTGGACGCCTCGCATTCTGCATGCTGAATGGAACACGAGCACAGACGTCGTTTGCTCTGCTCGAACAAGCTTGTTCCGTAACAGCGAAGTTCCTCGTCTGTGCGGGTGGCGAACGACCCTTCCACCGACAGGTGGTGCGTTCCAGGGTGGTTAGTTATCACCGACCACGAGCAGAGGTGGACACTAAACCAGGTGACGGCAGCGCAAGTGCCAGTGGAATCGTGCAGCCGTCACTCATCTCGTTGAACATTGGCCCCTCCCACATTGGTTCCTCCTATGGAATGCGAGCCAAGGGCTGAAATTTGGTCGGTTGGCTTTGGTGGGTAGGAGAGAGTGTAGTTTGAAATGTCGCGACTCGTTCTGAAATGTCTCATCGAAGCGCGTTTCTCTCGTCGCAGAGGGGCGTGGTTGAAGTCCCTCCGAAGCGCACGTCACGTTCCCTATGGTGGGGAGTCTCGTTTGCACCTCTCTACTCGATGGATGCCACGTCGGAACCCCAGTGGCTAGAATTGACTGCCAAGACGAGTCTGTTGGTGTGTGCACAGCGCGAATGACTGGTTGGCGAGGAAAGTACGCGTTACTCGATGTTTATAACAAGCACATACTGCAGACACATATTTTCCCTTCGGACAAAATAATCCATAAAACAAAAACATCGTCAAAATAATAAATGATGCCTATTCCACCAACAAATACGGTGATTCCATTACACGTAATTAATGCTGTTAGTATTTAAATATCAATAAAATGCACATGAAACGTTCCCATTTAAGAGCAGGGGTCCACGCTTACTACACAACCATAAAATTGCTACTACGGTACTGTCGTCAAGTGTGGTGTGGATCCTCTGCAAGCCATTAGTAAGCACTAATACACTGCTAGCTTCGATAAATTTGTATCATAGGCCGTGGTAAGGTGCATTGGTGCCGAATGAGCATGTATATATACGTACATTACCCACCCATGTATGGAAGGACTGTATACGCAGGATTGTGAATGTCATTTTGACTTTTTGCATCTACATTGTTTGACCACACAGATGCAGAACATACATTCTGATCTGACCTACAATGTGTGGAACCTACCCATGGTTGCTTTCACCTGGCAAAGATAAGAACTTTAGATCCTATGCCAGTTGGTTCTCGTGTTCAAATCGCGTGGTATAAAGTGGTTGCTGCTGTAGTAGCTTATTTAATAAATGACAGCATGGTGCATACCACAGCTTCGTCTAATACTAGAGAAGCAGCCTGGTCCATTACTGCAGCCACCACCACCCCACGCACAGCTACCATGGGTACGGCAATAACTTGGGTTAGACTAGGAGCAACTAAACCAGACCCCAACTGCAGCACAATGCAGCAAGTGCAGTATCGCCAGAGCACCCATGCTGTTGACGTGCTCGAAAACCCAGAGAATCGTCTGGATCGTTGTAAGTTGTAACGCGGAAGGCCACGGGAGAGGATGAAGCGGGCCGTGTAGATGAAAAAAAAACAGGAGAATCTGGCGTGAGACTCTCGACTTACCAATCAGAATCCTAAATCTAGAGTGCTACGCTACTCCTACACTAGCATGAGAATCTGTCGCACCCTCAATCAACACCACATCCTCGCGATAAGTCTGGCTTTCCCGCCATCCTAGTCGTCGTTGTTCTTGTTGATCTTGTTGCTTCCCGGCGCCATGATGACCTTGGGTTGTTGATTGCACGTGAAGTCAATCAGGTTCAGCCCGCGGTTTGTCCCGTGGTATCCCACCGTCTGAAACATGTCCTGAGCGTACGCCCATATGATGTACGCCGGCGTCCTGAGGTCCATAATCGGGGCGAGCCCGCCATCTGCGACCTTCCGGTAGAACCTGGGGAAGGAGAAGGGGGAGGAGAAAGGGACGGGAGGGGAGGGTTGAACCCATGGTATCCCACCGTCTGGAACATGTCCTGAGCATACGCCCAGATGATGTATGCTGGCGTCCTGAGGTCCATTATCGGGGCGAGCCCGCCATCCGCGACCTTCCTATAAAACCTGGGGAGATCAACGGGGGGAAGCGGGGGAAGAGAAAGGAAGAGGGAGATGGGGAAAAGTGCCAGGGAGGGAGGAGGAGCACGAGGGCAGGGAGAGAGCATGGGGGCAACGAAGGAGCACGAGGGGAGAGAGAGGGATTCTCACCAGAACATGGTGTTGCCAGTGCCAGTGGTCGTGGTCCCTCTGTCGTTACTGAGCGTCATTCGATTCGAGAGCTGCACGCCCGTCTTGGTGTAACCCCCCAGCATATACGCCTTCACCTGGCCGCCCGCCAGGTTCCCTAGAACCGCGTCGGAAGGCGACATGGCGCCGTCGCGCGACCAGCCAATCCCGTACCACCCGTTGTCGACGTTCGTTCCGGATTTCGCCTCCACGGCGACCTTGAGAGTGTCGGTTCCGATGATCTTCCAGTGCAGGTAGAGCCTAAGTGGGGGGAGCGGGGCGGATGGGAGGGTTGACTGCGTTGACTAGCTTGGCCTAGACGGCGACCTCGAGAACGAAACGGGAATGACGTGACAAAACGGAAGTGATGTGTCAAAAGAAGTCCTGCACCAGCGGCGTCGACGCGGCACATTTCGAGTCAGCAGGGGAGGGGGGGGGGGGGGCAGCAGGCAGGACCCGTAATTCGCATTCTTGTTTGGGTGAGTCAAAACACTCACGTGTTCTTGTTTGGGGGAGAAAGGGGGGGCGGCAGTCAAAACACTCACTTGTTCGGCACCAGCGGCGTCGAGAAGGTGAATCCCAGCAGGGCCGACGCGTCGCACGAGTTCCCCGTCTTCAGCCCGCCGCTTCCGCCGCCGCCGCTGCTCGTGTTCTTAGCGGGCGTCACAACGGGCTTAGTCGCCGGGGTGGTCGGAGGTTTCGGCGAAGGCTTTGCCGGAGATTTAGCGGGAACAGTCGGAGACTTAGGGGGGATTGACGGAAACTTAGACGGGACGGACGGAGACTTAGCGGGGCTTTTGACGACAGGGGGGCTGGTTTTGGCCGGCGAGGGGGACTTGGGGCTTTTGGGGTTGCTCTGGGTCGTCACGGGCTGGGCTCCCGCGGCGCAGGTGAGATCAACAACGAGTTCGCCGCGGCGGCTTTTCCGGAGCGCGACATCCTCGGAGTTCTTGACCGACCACGCCCAGATGAGGCGGTTCGGGCCGACCTTGACTGGCACTGTTCCGTCGTCCGTGGAGCGAGTAAACCTGACGTGGCATAACGGGGTGGAAGGACGGGAATGAGTGGCCGCGATTTGAAGTAGGATTATCGCAGCTGGGATTTAGCTGCCATGGTGGTAATGGCAAGTCGGGTTGCGAAAAAACAGCATTTTGGTGTTTTCGAAATTCTTTTCGCGAACTCCATGCTTAGATGTTACCAATTTCGCCGAATCTCACCTTGCGATGTAGCCGCCGGCGCCGGGATTTTCGATGCTCGTGTCGCTGAGGTGAACCGACTTCGACTTGAGAGTCGAACCCGCGCCGTAACCGTAAATATCATAAGCTCCAACTGATTGACTCGGCAGGTTACCAATGATCAAATCCGAGGGGAATTTGCTTTTCGGCGCGGACCATCCCACGGCGCCCCATCCGCTCTTCCCCTTGCTTGTCGCTTTCGCCTCCAGAGCAAAGTCGATCGACGATTGGCTCGTTATCTTCCAGTGCAGGCTCAACCCGCCAAGCCGCGTCAGATTGACGGAATTCGTGAAGCCTGACAGAGTAGACTGGAGGCAGGTTGCGGGCCCGATGATTACGTCGTTGTCGTCGTCCGCCTGGCTCGCTTTGACCTTTCCATTCGACGGCTTAGGCTTCGGCTTTGGGTTTACCGAACCCGTTTGAGTCTTCCCCACTTGGTTCACGGGACTCTTCCCCACCGTTCCGCCGAACGACTTCCCCGCCGGCCCCGTTCCTTGCGTGACGACTGACGACGGCGCTGACGGCGTTGACGGCGTTGACGTGGGCTTGTTGACCGGTGCAGCAGGAACCGGGGAAGGCTTAGGTTGAGACGGCGCAGGTTTGGTAGGCGGGGGCGATTCCTTCGGCGGGTTTGGCGCGGGGGTGGCGGAGGATGTGGGCGGAGGCTGGCCGGCCGGATCTTCCTCGCCGCTCAGCGGGTCGTCCGAGTCAACGGGAGTCACCGTGGGTGTCGAGCCGCCGAAAGGGTCCTGGTCGAACGGGGACCCGCTGCCCGGGTCACTTTTACTGGTCGGTGCGGATGGCGGCAAGGTAGGTGGCTTAGTGTATCCGGGCGTTGGTTGGGTGCTGGGCGCTGGTTGGGCACCACCGCGGGTTTTCATGTCAGCGGCATGAGCGCTGAGGGAGGAGACGACGAGAAGAAGAAGCGCGCAGGCTGTGACTCTGACGAGCGTTCTCTTTCTGCGTGGAAGCCTGTGAATTGCCGTCATTCCGGCCGTCATGGTGCGGTTAAAAAATCAAGGGAAGGTTTCTAAAGGTGAATGCCAGCCAGTATAAGCACAGGATCAAGTGAGCCGCAGTCAGACGTGCAGTACGAATAGTAAGCTGAGAGACGGAAGCGATATCACTTATGCGAATGTGGATGCAGATCAATAAAAGCAGAAAGGTGTGAGAGGCCTACTCCCGCGGAATCCGCAAGCTTGTGAGAGAGTTGTGCTGCAGTGGAATATATTTGATGGAATATAGGGGACGGGAAGAAGGCGCTGAAATTCGGTGGGTAGTGACGCTGATGAAATGTGCGGCTTGTGAATGTTTCATCCAACGATCAATTCGGAGATGTGCGGGAAATTGGATTCGCACGGTGCGCGCGCGGACCCCGCCTTGATCAAAATGATGAAACGGAAATGTTGGAAAACCGGGCCAAGTGACGTGGAAATTGAAAGCTGTTGGGCGAAATTGTCGCACGATGCTGGTGAGGAGGAGAGTCGCCAGTGATGGAATGCACCTAGATGTCTTTGAAATCGTGTCTAGTCCTGGTTGGCGCTGACCAGCAAAAGCGACAAACGAGGGCGACAGCGTGAAAAGCGTAGTCGCTGAACCGTGCCACGCTGGCACCTATCATTTCAGCAACCTTTCAAACAGTCATATCAGCGGAGCTGTACTTATACATACAACTTTTTCCATAAAAGTATGATACGACTTGACCTACATAATTCACTATCAAGGAAGGAGGAAACATTCCGCTGTTATTATAGAGATACTCTGTGAGGCATTATGGTCATCAAGCCTGGCCTGTCCTAATTACTCATTCGAATGGCTGATTCCTATTAATCATTACACTCAATTAATCTCAGTCACCATATAAATCCTTCAACCTCGCTAAGGAATGAACACTAGATGAATCGCACAAGAAAAACATCCTAAAGTGGCATTTATATGCAACATTTTATTGTAACTGAACGATACTGTGATGAATATCGAAGCACACTACACGCACCAGCTGTCCAAATGCTCGAGAAACGACATAGCGGTAAAGGCGCTCCCTGGGCCCTGCTGTTCGGCTTTGTTCGTGGGATAGGCCCCACGATTGCTCCAATCGCTTTCAGCATGTCATTCGGGCCTCAAACATTCAATCCCAGAATTCTGACGTGAGCATTCCAGTTACCGCGGTGCGAGGCAAATTAGCGACACGGGCCCGCAATGTGTTCCAACCTATTTGTCGCAAGTGCACGTCCTCACGTGCGCCTCGTAGTTAGCGCCCCTCTCGGATTTCCTTCCAATCACTGCCTCTTCCCTTCCGATGATCCCATCCCATCCCATCCCATCCATCCCAACCCAACCCATCCCATTCCAAGTTCATCTGTTTCGCTTCGCAACCCCCTTTCGCTTCGCAACCCCCTTTCGCTTCGCAACCCCCTTCCACTCGCAAACAAATCACTCACCTGCCTAGCACCCACAACACCCAATCTTCAACCTGGTAATGCATCAACATGGGAGGGGTGGCTGGCGACGTGTGTTGTCGCTCTCTCTGAGACTTAGAGACTCAGATGGACGAAGTCAGAGGGCTCCATTTTCATGACTAAGGAACAACCGAATCGAGTTCTGGAGTCGAGTTACGAATCGAGATGCACCACTCTCGCCACTCAGTTATCAGAGATCAAGAGTGTAGTCTCCTTCTAAGGCTCTGCTTGTAATTCTACGGGTGCTCATCAGAAATTCATCCCAATCGCCCTCCGGCACCGTAACAACCAATTTTTGAGCGATCTGCCGACTCCGCCGCCCGCACGCTGTTCCAGTCGGCAAACCAACGCACTCCACCGTCTCCCACCGAAACGAAACAGAGGGGCATGAGAGAGCTTGGTTCAAGAATACCTAACATGGCGCGAAAAAACCCCCACTACGCCGTCTCGCCGGCTTTCGTAACCCTGTTACTGCAAGCGCTCGCAATAACTCCCACGCTCGCTGCGCCCACTCCGCCAGCGGGAGCCGCGGCGCCGATCGATCTCGCCTTCCCCTTCAAACCCTCCTCCTCCGCCCCCCAGTTCAAGCCAGACACCCTCCCCGACCTTCCCGCCTCTCCGCAACCCACCATTCCGCCGGTGGTAGCTCCCAAGCCCGTCACCGTTCCGCCGGTTTCCAAGCCCGCGACCGTTCCTTCCGCTCCAAGCGGAAGCCCCTCTGCGCCGACCGACTCCCCCGGACCTCCTTCCCCTGAACCCTCCGCCTCCCGTACCCCGGTAAAAGCTGGCAGTCCGGAACCGAATCCTTCCGCCCGTCCTGTCCCCAAGGGTGCCGCCCCTGCTGCAGGAACGCCGGGTACCGCCTGTCCCGCGTCCGACCTGGACGGATACACCTTCTCGGCTCCCCTCATTCCCGACCAGTAAGAACCACTCTCCATACAGCAGTGCCGCGTACCCTTGTCCTCGTTCCCGAACAGCACGCTCCCCTCCTTTCACGGATTCTCAACTGTGGTTCCTGTACGAGCTGCTCTCCGAGTTACAGCATGGCGGGGACGTGAACATGAACGTGCATTCCCTCCCCAATCGTCACTCTACTCTCCCTCATGCTCCATCTTCCTCGTTTCATTCTCCGGTCTCCGGATCCCTCTGCCCTCGCGCCAGGTTCCTCCTCCAATCGCGATTGCGCGCGTCGGCGCTGGACAATGCGGTGAGGCGCGCCAGCGCAGCCAAATCGACAAGTGCCTCACCATTTCATGCTCTTGCTTCCTCGTTTCGAACACCCGCTTCCTGTTCGTGTTTCCTTCTCCCGTTGCCCCCTCCCCAGGTTTGTCCTCCACTGGCGGCTGCGAACGTCGGCGCTGGACATCGCGGTGGAGGCGCGGCTGAGCAGTCAAATCGACAACGGCTGGATGGGAGTCGGCTGGTCGCTTAACGGCGCAATGTCGCCGTCCGACGCCGTCATCGGCAATCTCGAGGGCGGTGCGATCCGCTCGTTCTCGCTGGGCGGGTACACTGCGGACTCGGTAAACGCGACAAATCATATAAACCTTGGGGATAAGGGATCGACTTCGACGGCGTCGGGGTCTACAGTGTTCTGGTGTGTTACTCTTACTTCGTTACTTTTACTGTAACATCGTTTACATTCACAACTTGGCGTGCATTTGTGCTAAAACTGCACCCGTGAACTAACAACCATCTGCATTATACCTTCTGTGCGTCACCTTCGCTCATTCGCGGCTTGTGGGATTAACGAGTCTCGAAACTAACCCCGTTATAAGTAGCCCCTCTGACTTCATGAGGATGTTGGAGACTGTTGGTGAACAGAAGAAGACATGTTGGTACAGACGAGACAGCTCGGGCCAGGCGCCTACTCTCGGGCGTTTCGACTAACCTCCCAACCTGCATACGACTAACCTCCTGTGCTAACTGTGACTACGGGGAAAGGAGTGAAAGGGCTTCCTTTTACTTTAGAGAGGAAAGGAGTGAAGAGGATGACGAGGAAATGGACGAGATAACCATGGGGAGACGTGGGAGGGGGAGAAGAAACAGGAGGAAAATGGGAAAATCGGGAGGAGGATCGGGTTATGGGACTTGGTTCGAGGGAGTGCTTGGCGCTTGGTATGCTGGATGCTAGTCCATTCTACGTCTATGCACTTGTGTGATACTCGTGAAGTCTCTTGAACTGTAATAGTGCGTGTATCTCCTTTTGTGTTCACATCCACACCTGCATGCTTTCCCCATTTATATACCAGGTTCTCCCGGTCGCCAGGAGATGGAGGCTCGGTGCCGATCCAGCTGTCCGGACCTAACTTCATAATTTGGGCATACTCTCGGGATATGTTCCAGACGCTTGGTTACCACAGCACCCATAGGTAACGACGCCTGGTTACCACAGCACCCATAGGTAACGACGCCTGGTTACCACAGCACCCATAGATAACGACGCTTGGTTACCACAGCACCCATAGGTAACGACGCCTGGTTACCACAGCACCCATATGTATCGACCCCTGGTTACCACAGCACCCATATGTAACGACCCCTGGTTACTACAGCACCCATAGGTAACCCTCGTTACTACCACACCTGGCAGCATGATGTGTCCCTACCGGTGCCCCCCCTTATTCTTGTGCTTGTCCCTTTTACTTCCATATCAATGTATTCTTGTGCTTGCTATCCCTCTCCTTTGCCGCCCTTTCCCCACTTCGTCATTTCCCCACCTCATCCCCCCTACTTCATTACCCCAACCTCGTCCTCCCCACCTCATTTCTCCGCACCTCATCCCCACCACCTTATCACCCCACCTCATTCCCCCAACCTCATCCCCACCCCCACCTCATTCCCCCAACCTCATTCCCCCAACCTCATGCCCACAACCTCATCCCCACAACCTCATCCCCCCCCCCTTATCTTCCCCTCTGGTAATCAGAGGAGTATCTCAGGTGGACTTCTCATGCAACACTGCACCCCAAGTGCTACTGGGGGAGGGAAGCCCCGAGGATGACGACCAAGGGGAATTTACCCCGGATAATCCTATTGATGTATCCCCTTCCGACCCTCTGGGGGACGATGGCAACGATGAGAGCACGGGAAGCAGCAGTTCTGGAAGTGGTGACAGCAGTACAGGAGTCGTGCCTCGTGGTAACCAACCTGGCGGGGTGTTACGGAAAGTGTGGAATGTGTTGTTCCCATCATTTGGATAAGCTAGCTGGCAGAGCTGATGTGTGCCATACTTCATTCGTGGGCGAATCCGATTAGAGGGCGCCATGCTTAATTCGTTCATCTAGGTCCTTATATTGTAATCCTAGATGGTTTTGGTAGTGGTATAGAGGGGCTAACATGTTCAGCGTCTCGTGGAGCTCTGTTAGTATCGGTTGTGTAGGAATATAAGGTAATAAAGTTGATAGAGTTTTGATCAGTGCAATCAAGTGTGGAGAATAATAGCAAGCATACAACTCGTGGCGAGGTTAGTGTATTTGTAGACACTGCTGTCCAAAGATATAGGTTAATGTTGCAAGCCTACCGGACGGGTGAGAGCACAATGAAGTGGTTGAGTCATATTGATTACTACGATATTGCATCGCAGATTCTACAATGCAAGGTTTGGCAAAAGTAACGCACGAGGTGGCGAAAACCAAGAACAGTCGAGCTCGTGAACAGTGTTTCACGCGGTGTGAAGTGAGGCTCGCAGTAAGAAATCCGAACATCGTCTTACACCAATCCTCGTATTTGTAAGGAAAATTCATTTTCCTTACTTCGCGCCCCTGCTTACCGCGTACATGACCACTCCCGCCATCGGCACCCACAGTGAAACGTTACCCGCTCACAGCACTCGCCTCGGCCACGACTCCCGCCACTGTTCGCGATGCGACCCAACCTAACGGTTTGGTTGGTAACCCACGCTCCGGACCTCCGCCTCGACAATTCCCAAACCTCGGCGCTAGGCCCGTAGCGTACCCCCAATTTCCCGCATTACCGTTACCACGCTAGCTTTGATATATAGCTTCGCTCATGCTTTTCGCTCAACTGTTTTGTTTGCTTCGATAGTGCAATTCTCGCTCGCTCACTCAATTGCACTCGTAACACTTGGTATTCAGAGCCTACGATCTCTTCTCGGACCGCACCCACACCTTCGCTTCCCCACCCCACTATCTCAATTTTTGGGGCGGGTAGACGTCTCTCAGTGAAACAAGCACCGCCGCTCGTAGTGCTCTCTCGTAAGCACGCACGGCCACGACAGAGGCTCTCGCTGAGCTTGCCCGACACCCCCGCCATGGCTGAATTCAACATCGCGACACTGACGCAGGAGCAACTCGACCGTCTCGTACGCCAACTCGAAGACTCGACGCTCGAAATTGCGGCGCTCACGGCGGAACGCGACTCCGCTCGCCAGCAATCAACGGTGAATGCTCCAGCACCTGCACCCGCAAATGCATCCGCGCAATCAGAAGAACCGATCGTCATCTCATCAGGCACACCGACGCAACACGACAACGTGGGACAGCGCTCAGGCGCAGCCAGTGATGGCGCCGCTCAATCGATGCCTGGCATGGAGAGAAATAGGGCCGCACCAAGCCCGCGTGGGCCTCGCGAAGCTCGTCGGCACATGGAGTTTGCAGCAACAAGTGGCAGCCACGACATCATGGCACCAATGCCACTCAAGCCACAGCGCCCGCCTGTTTCGATCCGAGACAACGTGGAGGTCCGACGGTTCAATCGTGAGTCTTCACGATGAACGTTTTCTTCGACGCGAATTACGTAGAGTCGGACGCAGCGAAGATTCGCTACGCTGTTTCGCTGCTGAGGGGCCCCGCCATGGACTGGTGGCGAGTCATCGTGACGTCGCCACACGCCTACGAGCCACCATCGCAAGAGGAAGAGCACATGGGCCCAGCCGTCACCTGGAGTTCATTTTGCGAAACCGCCCAGTACAGCACGTGGGATGCGTGGTGCGTAGGGCTTCGGGCGCGCTTCGAGCCGATCGCGGCTTCTATTTCGGCGCGTCAGAGACTGCGTACTTGGCGGCAGCTCGGATCAGTTCAAGACTACACCAGCGGTTTTCTCGCATTATGCGAGGAAGTCGGCTACATGCACGAAGCGGAGCGGGTGGACCGTTACGTCGGAGGGCTGAAGCCGGACATCTCGCACGAAATCATGCTACGCGGGCTCTCGAATATTAACGAGATCCTCGCGCACGTTTAAGGGGCGCTGCTTTGCTTGCAACAGGCTGGGCCATCGCAAAAACGAATGCCCAGAGGAGCTAAGGCGCCGCGGAGCAGAGCAGGGGAGGGATTCTCAGAGGCAGGGAAACGCCAGCAGTCAGTAGAAATTGGGCCAACTACTGACGAGACTGCCTGCTCGCCCAACCTCACCGACCCTCACCGAGTCACAGTACCGATTCATGCCATCGATCGGGCTCGGATGAATAAGGAGGGTACAGCGACGGATTGCCCAGTACTGATCCACGGGAAAATACAGGGAGCAGCAGTGAAGATTTTCATAGACGGCGGGGCAAGTCACATCTTAGTTAATACCGCGACCGCACGGAAGCTGCAACTGGCACTTAGTCGGTGCTTACCGGAGATAGACGCACGCTTAGTTGACGGAACGCCGCTGGCAATACGGGAGAAGGTGGAGAGAGTAAAAGTCCGCTGCGGGGGGAACTTCGGGTTTACACAAGAAATGCTCGCAACGACATTGGATGGGCACGACGTTTTACTGGGACGTGATTGGCTGCGACGGTATAACCCGCGAATCGACTGGACGACGAGTAGCTGCACTGTGCGAAGTAACGGTAACTGGGTCGAATTACCTCGCTGGCAGTCGCCCGAGTCTTCAACGGTCCACGTCAACGCCATCACGATGAAACGGGCTGTCGCCGCTGGAGCTGACGTGTTTGCGGTGGATATCACAGTGGTAGAAGAAGCAGAGCAGCCGAGCGATTTTCAGTAACTGCTGGCAGCGGTTCCGCCCGAACTACAGGAACTGTTGAAACAGTACCCAGGGATTTTTCCCGATGACTTACCGGAGGGACTGCCACCTCAGCGGTCACACGATCACCGAATAGAGTTAGAACTCGGGGCACAGCCAACCGTACAGCGACAGTTCAGACTGACACAGCCCGAGCTCGACGAACTAAGGAAGCAGCTAGATTATATGTTAGAAAATAAATTCATCCGACCGAGCTCGTCACCGTTCGCCGCACCGATACTGTTCATACCGAAAAAGGACGGAGGTTTTCGCATGTACATCGATTACAGGGCACTGAACAGGGTTACAGTCAAGTCGCGATACCCCATTCCCCGCGCCGACGAACTGATAGATCAACTGCGAACAGCACGGGTCTATTCGAAAATCGACTTACGGGGAGGTTACCACCAGATTAGGGTTTAACCATCAGACTGCGCCAAGACAGCGTTTAGAACTAGGTACAGGTCCTTCGAGTACACTGTGATGCCTTTCGGGCTGACCAACACACCGGCGACATTTCAGATGACCATGAACGAGGCGTTTAGGTCACTCTTAGATAAATGTGTGATAGTTTACCTCGACGACATCCTCGTCTACAGTCGCGACAAGCAGCAGCACTTAGCAGACCTGGAAGCAGTTTTTAAAATTTTAGACGAACACAGGCTATTGACCAAGGGTTCCAAGTGCGAGTTTTTTCAGGACAGGCTAGAGTTTCTGGGGCACGTTATTTCGGAGGCTGGGGTTGAGATCGACCCAAAGAAGCTGGACACGGTAAAAGCGTGGCACCCCCCTGTTGAGGCTAAGCCCTGCACGCGCCTGGTTTCGCGTGTAGCAGCTCTATGCGAAGTAGCGAGACTTCGCATACCGCATACCGAAGTTTCGGTACACTCCAATTTGTGCATCTCAGTAAGCACAATTCGACATTGGATCAGATTGGAGGGAAGTGTCGACATTGCACAAACGAGTATGTGCAACTGTCAGTGTTGCAAGAACCTGCGCAACTACTCCTGGGCAGGTGGAAAATACACCTGATGGTATTTTCACCTGATGGTATTTTCACCTGGCGGTGCTAGCATGGAACCGCATACTAGAGTAGGTGCTTGCACGTTCTCCTTGAACAACGTTCTTCATGAACAACGTTCTCGTAGAACGTTCTTGCACTATGCTCTCAATAAGGTTTATGTTGTTTCCCTTGTAATCTATCAATTAATCAATTTCGTTCCTTCAGTTACTGCATACCAACCTTGGCATCAGTATTCGGTTTCCAACAAGTCCGTATTCGGTTTACAAGCATCCGCTTTGCAACTCTGCGCCTAGTCTCTCCCACAATCGCCTATTCTCCGCATGGTGCGGTGAGCGTGGAAGCATACGCGAACTTCATATAGCCTCGAGTACGATTGACGAAGCTGTTAACCTTGGGCCGGCAGCCACATTGATTTCGTATGGATGGCGAGGGCGGCGCTACGGAAGTCATGGACCTGGAAGCGCAGGTCGCTGCTTTGCGGGAGCGCCACAGCGGTGGCGAAATCAGCGCCGCAGATCTGGAGCTGATGATCGAAGGAGCTCGTACGAAATGGGCTCGCGATCACCTACCTCCTCGTGCTGATGCGGAAATTGAGTCCGCTTCTCCCCGTGCTGAAGGCAACAACGTCAACATCGATGGCATTGAAGGCGCAAGAGTTATGCGCGGTGAACTGCGTGGGGCCGTCAGAGTGAACACCGCGACCGCCTGTGGAACGCAAGCGCAAGTCCTTCGGTTTGCAGCTGCAGCGAGTGCGCGTAGTGACGCGCATGGTCATCGCAAATGCGTCAACTGTACGCGACGGTGGAATCGCTCCGGAATACGGATACTTCAATTTCTCACCCGACAAAATCGTCGTGCCGAAATTGCTCGAAGGGCGTCACGACTTGACAACGTGGGTCGAGTCCATTGAGCCGCAATTGGAAATCGCACAGTTGAAGAAGTTCATTGACGAAACGGTGGAGGTGCCGCCTGAGGAGGATGCGGAGCGGCACGCACAGTTTCATTCTGCACAGCTGTTGACGTTTATGGTCATCTCAAGGTGTTGCTCGCCGGTTGTCCAAGTTGCATTGAAGCCTTGCCGTCTTCGGGTGGACGCTGGTTTTCAAGCTTGGCAATTCATTATGAAGACCTACAAGGCAATGGATGACCTTTACATCGGCCAGCTGGAGCAACGGTTGACGAATCTGGAGATGGGGGAGCACGAAAGCG